GTTTATTTATTTTAAATTTCTTTCTATGTTGCTTGAAGAGAAAACATTGAAAGAGGTGATTTGTAACAAAAGTGTTATAAAAAATCCAATCCGAGTTTACATTGTTCTTTAGAGAAACTCGATAAAAGTGTGAGCTGACTGCTGCGTTTACGCTCATTGAATTGCGTTGTATATGAGTCGATCTTTGCGTAGAAAACCCTGAAAACTTTTTTTTCCTACGTTGTTTGAAGAGAAAACATTGAGTAGACTTCTATGAATAAAAGAGGTGAGTTCTAACAAAAGTGTTATAAAATCCAATGTGAGTTTACGTTGTTCTTTAGAGACACCCTATAAAAGAGGTCAATGACAAGGCTTCGAGTGCATATATGACTATATAGACGTCGTGAGTATGTTGGTTTCTTTCTTCTACTCCTTCTGTCTGACATTAATTATTCCATTTTGATGTATTATTTTAATTTAAACTAGTTTAACCTTGTGTGTTGCAAAAACTGTATTACATCCGACTTTAAAATTTTATAATATTATATTTTTGATGTGAATAGAATGTCATTAGTCACAAAAATATTATTTATTAATTAGGATAGTAATCACTCCACTAAGATAAACTGATAACCCTTAAATTTATCCAGTTTTAGCAAGCAATTCTTATTCATTTTTACTTATAAATTAGTATCAATTAAGTAGAATTAGATTACTTTTAGGTTGATACATTTCAAGGTGACCAGAAGGCCAAAGTAGAAATTGCTAGAAATTTGAGGCCAAAAGGTGAAAAAGGACATAAAATCGACCAAATTGGTTGCTGCTGAAAATTGAAGCTGGAAGTGATCGATACATATTCCTTCTCTTATACATCTTTGTTTTCGTATTTTTGTACCCAAAAAATAATAATTAAAGAACAAGGCTTGCAATCTTCAACTTTAACGACTTTTGCACCGAAATCTCATTAATTTAACAAAACAACACTTAAACTTTGATATTATTGGATCTTGTTGCTGTGATATATCTTTAACTGGACATCTCATGTATGGATTTTGAGTTGTATGGAATCTCTTCTCCTTGCTTTAGCTAGACTCACTCTACATGTGTACATTGGAGGTGGGGTGAAACACCTAACAGTACATAGCAATTTTCCATGGAAATTCTTGATATTTTTTTATCATTAAAGAGAGCTGGAACCTAAGATTGTGTATCCATTCCATCCTAAAATAATTGTCGCGTTTAAAATTTTTATTTTTAATTTAAATTGGAGAAAAAATAAAAATCTTTATATAGATGATGTATAAAATATTCGGTTAATTAAGCTGTCATTTGTTTAACATATATCATGCAAATTTGGTACTTCTAGATCTCTTGATGATTTATTTTCTCTTCTTAATTAAGGACACTGTGACCTATAATATATTAATTAGGCATTTTACTAGAGAAGATACATAAATCTTTAATCAAGGGCTTCAAGACATCCAGCCCCTTTCATTTTGTTTAAACCTATTATAACTTCAATTAATCAAAAATATCTATTTACTTCTTTTACTTTACCTCAATCCATCATCCTCAAAAAAAAAAAAAAAAAAACAAGTAAGAAAAAAATGATTCATTATCAGACCTTAGGTCTAACATGCGAAAAAAGTGGGTCAGTTTATTTTTTTTTTAAAGGTAATGTTGATTTTGATTTGGTGGTTTAATTAACACATGACTTATCATTCAGGGAAGCCGATCCCCTTTATCAACACCAATACTTCGATACCTATAAAAAGTACAACAGGATAACTAATTAATCTGACTATAATGATCAATGGACCAAACGTGAAAATTCGATACGAAAAAAGCTAATTAAAGAGTTGATTAAAACATTTTGGGATTTGTTGGGAGTTGCTCCCTTCGTTCTACAATTCTGTTATTATTTTAATGGTTATTTGGTTTTAATTCAAGAATGTATTACCTGTTCCATTCCAGTCAAATGTAGATGTTCTTTAGATGTCAAATGTAAAAAACCTTGTCACTTCAAACAAGAACGTAACTTAAATGTATGAACTTTTGTAGCTTACTCTTACTACTTCTTTAACGATTTGTAACGTTACAGGATTTAGCATCGAGAGCGAATTATTCCTACTTTGACAAGAATATCCCTATATCAACTTAGTACCACAAATGATTTTTAGAAGGTAACAACTAAGAACAATAACAATTTACATATATGATGCTCGAGGCAAGTAAACCATGGAAATCGATCTGATTTAGAATTATGCATTTGTAAATAGGTTTATATGATGCAGGTTGGAAGAACAAATTTACCTAAGGGGTGACATTGATAGAGTTTTTTAGTTTCACATTTTTCAGCAAGCGATATTAAGGATAACTTGGAACTATACATGATTTTTTTCTTTTTGAAAAAAAAAAAAAACTAAACATATATGCATCCATTTCTGGGCAACGAGTAAACCTCTGCAAATCTGCACTTAATTATGACAATCCCAAACTTGCAAAATTTATTTTAAAGAGTTAATTTCCTCACAACTTCTTATTCGGAACTACTCATACATAATATTTGGGCCTTTCACTTGATTTTATGCAGCAAAAAAAAAAAAAAAACATGTTCTCTTTGGTAGTGTTGTGGACAGAATGAAACAAAGGCAGGGTTCATGAGAAAAATTGATCTTTATCAATTCTGGATAGAGTGATTTTAGCAAAGCATAGCCTTTTTTCACCCTAACTACCAATCTACATGAAGAGTCATTTAAGCTCCCCTGTCGGGTTTGATAAGGACATTGATATAGTCATTGCGCGATTTATATGGAAGGGTCCTCAGGATGGAAAAGGAATTTACTGAAAGTCTTGGAAATTCATGTGCCAATCCAAATATTTTGTTACAGAAAAGAGTATATTTTTCTGCCAAATCCCAATGCTAGATGCAGATTGCATATATTTTTTTTGGTGGTCTTGATTTCATCAAACTCCCATTGCATATCAGTTTTTGTGTTTTCAGTCTCTTCTTTTTCCTTTTTCCCCCCCCATAATTTGGAAGTTTATATCTGCTTGTTGGTTCCCTTTTAATCTTCGGAAAGCTTTTCCGTCGTTCCCATCGGCTATATTCTTATGTTCTGTTATTGTGTTTGTCTATGTTTTTCTTTTTATTTTCTTTTAAATTAATAAATTCATATTTATATGTTTATAAACACTAGAACCTACTACGTTACTTACATGTTTGATCTTTATGAATTTTTACTAACAATGCCTTATGCAATTACTAGCAATGCCTTGCGTGATAATATTCCTTCTGGTCCTTAATATAAGACATTTTGATTTATCCTACGTTTAACTGAGTACACATTTTTAATTAATAAAAAAACTTTAAAAATATTTAATAACGATCAAGAGAATACGACGAATATGAAAATATATTTTAAGATTTTTTCGTCAAGTAAATATGCGTACTAGGTGAAACCTAGAACAAATCAAAATGTCTTATATTAAGAAACGGAGGGAGTAGATAAAAGTGAAATATCGCCAGATGCATATCCATAGATTTTGTTCGCATGTACTTCATTAAACCTTAGAAAAATATAATAAAATTAAACAATTACAGATAACATATATAGAAAAAATTATAGATATACAACTGCAAGTTTTGTAGGGCCCCTAAATCCTAATCACCTTAGTAGAGTTGCACTATAGGCGCAAAAAACAACTTACAACAAAAAGTTGCCCAGCCATTGCCATGACTGGAAAGGTTTGTTCGCAAGGCGTTTTTCATTGGAGCTTGATTACTGACAGCTATAAAAAATATAAATATGTAATTACAAAGGAACGTAATCTGCCAAAATATCTGACATTATTAAAAATATAAATGTGGGTGATGCATAAATTTGATTACTGTGATAAGATGGCACATACGCCAATTAATTTTGTAAAAGTGGAGTGTGCGAGTTGACTTGCAAAATGAGACACTTTTAAGTTGTGGTTTTTTCATTAAAAATCCATAATTATTCAACTTACAAGTTACAACAAAGGATTCCTGAGGACAGGAATCAAATGAAGGTTATGTTTTCTTTTTACAACAAGCCCAAAGGCTTCTGTTATGTCTAACTCTTCTGATTTAGTTCCGTTGGGTAGATACCAATCGAAGTGATACAATAACTTTGCCAGATGCACCTCGACATTTAGCATGCCAAATTGAATACCGGCACAAATTCTTCTTCCAGCACCAAATGGTATATATTCGAAACACGATCCCTTATTATAATCAACTGAGCTATCAAGAAACCTCTCGGGATAAAATGTATTTGCATCTTTCCAATACGAAGGGTCTCTATTGATTGCCCATGAGTTAACGAAGACTTTGGCCTTGGCAGGTATTTTGTACCCGTTGATTTTACATTGGTCATTGCTCTGCCTAAGGATCAGAGGTGCTGGTGGATGTAACCTCAATGTCTCTCTTACAATTGATTTTAAGTATTTCAGTTTATCAAAACTGTCTTCATCAACACCTCCTCTATCTCTAAAAACTTGTCTCACTTCATCTTGTGCCTTCTCCATGATTCTAGGATTCTTGATCATCTCTGACATTGCCCACTCTATGGTTGCAACTGATGAATCAGTCCCAGCAAAGTAAACATCCTGTTAATCCCACAAAAAAAAGGGAGAAAAAAAGAGGTGAAACTCTTTCGCTACGTTCTTTTATAAACAGTAATAAAAAGAGAAATAACTTCACAACATTCATTAAACATAGCAAGAGAAAAAAGGAGACAAAAATATCAGAGGGATGGAGTCACTAACCATAAGCACTGCTTTAATGCTATCAAGGGTGAGGGAAAATTCATGGTTGTCGGCTGCTGCCTCGTACTCCAACAAAACATCAACGAGATCTTTGTGGGCATTTTTATCAGGACGATGATTACCAATATTCTTGGCTGCAGCCGCCGCCCTGTGCTCGCTGATGATGGTATCGAGTATGGTGTCTATTCTGTTGTGAATCCTCTCCAACTTAGCCTTCATCCCACTTATCACATACACGAACTTAAACGACGGGAACATGTCAGCGCGTTAAACCCGGCAGCCAGCACCGCAATTTCCTTGATCTCAGATATGAACGCCTCTTGTTCCAGACTTTTCTTCCCGAAAGCCGCCCTCGCGGTGATGCTATAAATGGACAAATCAACCTCCGCGGTCAGGTTTACCGGCGAAGAGGAAGAACAAGAACCTTCTGCCATCCGCCTCACCAGATTCGAGGTTTCTTCCTCCCTGATGGACCGAAATGACCTCACCCGACCGATGCTTAAGAGCTCGAGCACGCAGATTTTGCGGAGTTGCCTCCACTTCTCTCCGTAGGGAGAGAAAATAATGTTTGGTGCTTTCCGAGTCATTACCTCGGACACACTGTTAAGTGGCCTGGAGGCAAAGTTGATGTCATGAGTTTGCAATATTTCTTTCGCGGTCTCCGGTGAGGAAACAAGGATGGCGGGAACTTCACCCATTCGAAAATGCATGATTGGGCCGTATTTCTTGGCCAACTCGGCCAGGGCTTGGTGTGGCGGCCGGGGGCCGATGAGGTGATGCAAGTTTCCGATGAGTGGTAGTTTCCATGGCCCCGGAGGAAGACTACTACTTGCTGATGAGCTTCTGAATTTCACTACTCCTAATTTGATAACCAAAAGAATGAACAAAATGGTCAGGAAGAGAGATGGGAAATCAACAGCATCCATTATTGGTTCGTACATAGTGATCACGAGATAGTATTATGTGTTTTTATCATATAGAGATAGGGTGATAATAGTGAAAAAGGCAAATTATATTCTTCTATGCCCCCAGATCCAACGGTAAAATCTCATCCTCTTTAGCACAGATTTGATGAGATCATTTTTTTTTTTTAATATATGGAGAGTTTTCTCTAACTTTTCAAAACAGAATTTTAAAATAAGATGTGCTAAAAGGATTTTCAAGTGGTGGGAATATTAGGTGATGGGCCGTCGCGACAAATTAATGATTACAGATTAAGTGATCCATGTTATCTTTTTTTTTTTTCTTTTGTTTTTCTTTTTCTGGGTTGGTTTAACTTGAACAATTATCTAAAGTGCCTTACGTCATAGACTATGGTAGAGAATTGTTTATGGAAAGAACAGGTTAGGAATGGAACAAAACATAGTTGTTAGCCAAAGAGTTTTGAAAGTTAATTAACTTGTCTTCTTACAAATTTATTAACTTTTCTTTAAATTTTCGAAACAGAATTTAAAAAATAAGATGTGCTAAAAGAATTTTCAAGTGGTGGGAATATTAGGTTATGGGTATCCCTCAAGCCACACGCGACAAATTAATAATTATGGATTAAGTGATGTGTGTTATCTATTTGTTCCTTTTTTTTATGTCTCTTGGTTGGTTTAACTTGAACAATTATCTAAAGTGCCTTACGTAATGGGACTATACTAGTGAATTGTTTACGGAAGAGCAGGTTAGGAATGTAACAAAACATAGTTTGTTAGCCAAAGAGTTTTGAAAGTTAATCAATTTGTCTTCTTAATAATGTATTAACTTTTTCAATTTTGGCTTTTATCTTATGTATAGAATTTGTTGGGACAAAAAATCCCCATATGATTATCGTGAATGATTCGTCAACCGTGTATAATTTTTTTGAGTCACCTCACTCATAATCGATTAGTTCTGAAATGGGAGCTCATGATTAACAGAATTGTTGACAGAAATTTTTAACTCATTTAAAATTTTTTTTTCTATGGATTATTTTCCCACATAATTCATTCTCTTATCCATTTCTGTTTTAGTATTTCTGTGAGTTAAAAAAAGGAAAAACAAACAAACAAACAAAAAACACACACAACGTTGGGATTGCAGTCTTTAACTTTAACGAATTTTGTACCGATATTTGATTAATCAAGCAAAACAGTACTTAATTGAACTTCGATATTATTGGATCTTGTTGCTGTGATATATCGGACATCTCTCTTGAATGGATTTTGACTTGTATGGAAGTTCCCTTCATGTGCTCTCTCCAGCTAGCCTCACTCACCTCGGACAGTACTTAGCAATTCTCTACGAAAAATTTCGATACTTTTTTTTATCATTAAAGAGGGCAAAGATTTACAATCATATACTCTTTCTATTCAAAAATTATTGTCAAATTTAAATTTTTATTTTTAATTTAAATTATATTAAAAGTAACAATCCAAATGTAACAATTATTTTAAAACAAAGAAATATTAATATAGTTTGTGAGTGTAATAGCATCTTGTTCTCATGTGTAATAGCATCTTAACAACTCTTTTTTAAAGTAAAATAGATATATATTGCACATAAAAGTTATCATAAATCATGGGTCTATAATCTAAACTATCTTCATAATCTTAACGGTTGATATAAAACTCTAAATAAAAATATAAAAATAAAGACATTTGAAGTAATTCATGTTTTCCTTCCCATTTTTCTTAGTATAAGGCATTTTGATTTGTTCTAATTAAGTTTCACTTAATATACATTTTTAATTAAAAAAATCTCAAAAATATATTTTCACATTTGTTGTGTTCTCTTGATTGTTATGAAATTTTTTAAGATTTTTTTGTCAATTTAAAATACGTAATATGTGAAACTTAGAACAAATCAAAATAGCTTATACTATTAAGAACCGGAGGGAGTATTTCATGTATCATTACTCTTCTAAGTTTTAAACATCTTTACACTCATAGGGAAGCCATTCAATATCAAAATATTCAATTATTACGTTGTGATCTTCTGTATATCACGCGAATTCAGTGCTTCTAGATGTCTTGATGATTTATTTTCTCATCTTAACTAAGGACACTGTGGTTAACCTTCTATCAATACCTACAATATATATATATATATATATATATATATATATATTGATATATTGTTTTTTGGTATAATACCTACAATATATTGATTTGTCATTTGCACTAAAGATACATAGATCTTTTAATCAAGGGCTTCACGGCACATTCAACTAAAAAATTAAGCCCTACGTATTTGTTTAAACATAATATTATAACATTAATCAATCAAGATACCTAATCGCTTATGTATGTTGTTTCATCAATCCACTATCCTTTTAAGAAAACGATTCATTAATTATAAGACTATGTCTGATATCCAAAAAAAAGAAGGGGTTAGTCTATTTTATTTTAGTCCGCTTTATCACATTGAATACGTGGATTACATGTAAGGTACAACAAGACAAAAAATTTCACCATAATGAATGGACCTAATGTGGATATTTGACGTGGAAAAGCTATAAAACAGTTGATTAAAGCATTAACAAATTAATAATTGATCGATCTGGGATTTGTTGGGACTTGCTCCCGTCGTTCTTTCGATTGTTTTTTTTAATGGAAGTTTGGTCTTATTTAAAGAATCTATTACCTGTTCTATTCCAAACTAATGTAGATATCCGGCAAATAATAAAAAGCTCCTAAGAAGTAAGTGTAATACACTTTCATTCTAAGTAAGTTGATTTTATTTTTCAAAAACTTTCAGTTACACTCTCACCTATTTTCTATCACATATTTTTTTTAATTATTTTATTATATTTTTTCTGAGAAATTTTAGTTATACGGGCACCTATTTTCCACCACACACTTGTTTTGAATTTTTTATTAATTTTTAATAAAATAACGATATTCATATAGATGAATAAGGCTGCAAATCTTACACGGGAATTACAATGCTGTTCTGAATGAATAAATATACTATTATGTAAAAATAACACTATTGTCTCGGATGACTAATTTTTCTTTTAATAATAAATTTCAGAACTTGTCTGAATAAATAATGATACTTAGATGGTTGTATATAAAAGTTAAAATTTGCTAGATGAATAATTGTACTTTACTGAATGAATAATATATGATTAGTGGATGAACAATAAGCAACAAAATGAACACTTTAATGAAGAGAAATAACAAGGGTATATTTTACCATGAATTAATGTCAGCAACAAAACTAATAAAACTTTTAATTTTGTATTTAGATTATACCAGAATTGAAAACTAGTCATTATTTTCTACATTTAAATTCTTGAGGTCTACCTAAACAAACTTCTCGAAGGAATCGCCGATACTCAACATGTCTATGTTAATTGTTTGATTTCAACAACTCTTCTAAATATTTGTTTCTCAACAGATCGAGTTTATTTTGATGAACATTTCTCTGACGCTGATTAAACAAAGAAAATATTACAATAAGTGAGATTTCACATTTAATAAAAATTTTACTTTGACAAAAAATATTGATTAATGGATAATGAATGAATACATGAAAAAACCCAATGATATTGATGAATAACTATACATTAATGGATATTGATGAATGAGTTCACTAATACTCACCTGATGAATACATAAATGAGCTAACTGATACTAATGAATAATGGTTCTTTTTACGATAGAAGAAACAAGTTGATGAAAAACAATATTAAAACTCATGATTATAAAATCCAGATTTCTAACCAACAACAATGGGATGATAACTATACACAACGAATGAATAACTATACACAATGGGTTAATAACTAAATTGATGAACAACAACAACATTAAATCCCAGGATTATAAACCCAGTTTTTCAACCAACAACAACCTGATGAATAACCATATATAACGGATGAATAATCATACAGAACGGATGAATAATGAAATTGATGAACAGTAACAACATTTAATCCCAAGATTATAAACCCAGATTTCCACCCAACAATAACATGATGAATTACCATACACAACGGATGAATAACCATATAGAACGGATGAATAACCAAATTGACGAACAACAATAACGTTAAATCCTAGGATTATGAAACCCAGATTTTCAACTGACAACAATATGATAAATAACCATGCACAACGAATGAATAACCATACACAACGGATGAATCTATGAATAAAAACTGTCATACCATGAATTATTATGAATTTTTTAGACTATAAAATTCATGAATAAATTAATTGATACTGATGAATAATGAATTCTTTACAAAGAAAAAAAAAACAAATTGGATCTACAGAGCTTAGATCTATGAAACCCATCATCAACTACTATAAAATACAAAACTTTAAGAGATTAATATGTATTAGCTCTGAGCCATCTGGGACTTTTTTGACGTGCTTTTTTTCAAAGAATTCAGATTATGGCTTTATGATTACTTTTCTCCGATACTTTTCCCATCTTTCTACATGAATTCGTAGATCTGAAATTTGTTTTTTCCACCACCAGATCTGAATCCGACGATTCATCATATGGATTCAAAATGCAGATATAAAACATAGAGTGGAGGTTTAGAGAATTTCAAACGAGATTTACTGATTTGATTTTTGAACGGCAAATCTAAATCAGAAATTTGAAGAATTTGTGAATCGAAGAATATTGAGAGAAGGTTACGAAGAAAAACTGAAAAAAAAAAAGTGAGAAAAACCTAATATTATTGAGTATTTATATTTTTTTATGAGAATTTCAAAATTAAAAATGCAGCAAAAAGGGGTTGGGGAGATTTTTTGGAGCGTGCAACATACGCTAGGAGCATCATACTATAGGAGCTCCTAGAAGCTCCTTATATAGGTCCAAAGACTTAATTTCTTTTCAAACATATGAAACGAAACTTTAATGTATGAACTTTTGTAGATTACTCTTAATTACTACTACTATCACTAAAATGGCTGACAATAGTAATGCGGCAGGATTTTAG